GTGGAGAATGTAAGAATATGGGCAGAAATAAACTTGGTGAGCATTCCAACCCTGCATCCTACTGAATGGTAACCTTATCAAACCCTGATTTTAAACTTGAATATTTTACGTGAAGTTGTCCTTGTTGACCATACTTTATATTGGAGGAAAATATGAACTATGAAGATGTAGAGCCACTTCTCTCTAAGCAGAGGCTGAATAATTAATTACAGATTAGTATATTACGAAATGGACCACCAGATGCTTTATTTGCATAAAAATCAATTAAATGGATGGTTGACATTATTTTATTACTAGTACATTACTTCAAAACATTCACAGAAAACAACTTTGCAGAAAATTTTCCATTCTTTATTTCAAACAAGAGTTTAATGTTTTTGTCAGTTTTCAAATAAGTGTTTCATGATAATACTTGGTAATTGATGACATTCTTTGCCTTTCATGTATTTGTTTTTCAGAAGTATAAAACTCTATTAATCAAGCTATCCATACAGAAGAATGGAATATCTGCTTTGTAATAACACTGTAAAGTTATATAAACTTTTATGTGATGATAATTTGTGCACTGCTGTTATTTTCATAATTGCAATGCTGCAAATAAAATTTAGTTTGATCAATATATATATATAAGGTTAATGTGCAAAATATGTTAAATATTTTACTTGTATTGTTGATAGCAGTGCTATATGTTTTTGCTAAATGCAAAACTTTAGTGGATCTGACAAGTGGTTGTGTATATCCTGTATGTTGAACTTATTTGAAAATAAGCACTTTGTGGGGTTAAATATTGTTTTGTTAATTATAAATGTACATGTTTAAAACTTACTGTGTTTCTTTTTTGCTAAAATATGTATGCACATTCTTTATTAGGTGCTTGCTAAAGTTGACTTAACGGCTCAGAAAAAAGATATTGTCCTAGATCTACTGGACAAAGTGATACTGTTTTTAACAGTTAACAATACAAGTCCATGGATGACTAAAGGTGCTGGTCTCCAGAAATTTTCTGATATGCTTAGGATACTTTTTTCCAAGGCCTCTTTAGGAGCAACAAGTAACAACATTATAAAAAAAGAATTTTCAAGAATGTATAAGGTATGTTTATGGTATCATTTATTTGTTAGAGTTTTGTATGTAGGCAATATTGTATTTTTTTATTTCAAAATCAGAAGGTGTAGCTTATAGATAGAGGCCAAAGTTTTGATTAAGGTTTCTACAATGTTGTACACTACAGAAGATCCATCAATACAGCTCTAAATGAGAAATTTCTAGTAGTAGTGTAAGATTTTAAAAACCTGTTTAAACTTAGATTTATTAGAAGAGTATGTTCTAAAATATTTAAGCAATTTAAAATGTACAGCCTTTGAAATTAGTCTAGTTAACTTAGCTTAAGTTGTATTTTCACATGTGGATTTATTCTTTCTGTTAAATATTCTTATCAATATTTCAAAATTGTATGATTGCATAATTTTGTTGTGGAATTCGTTATTTCAAAATTGTAATTTTTTAAACATTTTTTCACAAAGCCTTTGTTCAATTGAATTTTAAGTAATAATATAAAAACTTAATGCTCATTTTCAATTATATCCAGAATTTTTAAACTAGTTCATAGCATCTGTTACAGTTTTATTTGTGAAAATATTTGTTTTAAGAGGTAAAAGTTGGTTATGTTATTAACAAGTATTTTACATAGATTCTTGGACATTAGAAATGTAAATGTCAGTAATATATATACTTAACAGTAGCAGTAATTCACGACTAAAAATAATAATTTTTGCAAACTTCCTAATATTTGTATGGACAGTATTTAAAAGTATAGGCTAGAGTGGCACTATTGAATATCTTTCACTGTTGTTTTATTTGACAATAACTAGTGAGAATGATAAATTCTGTTATCTTTTTTATATTTTATTTTTTTCAGTTAAATCTATAACATCTTTACTAGGTAGTGTAGAAACTTAAATTTAGTGTCAATATTTTTAAAGATCATTAGGTAATGACCAATTGAAAGCTTGATAAATAACCCACTTAAAATATTTCATAATTTTCTCTCTCAGATTTTCTTACAGCAAGAGACTCTGAAGACTCAACAGAAACAAATAGATGTTTGGACTGTTGCTACAAAAACAAATAAAAAACAAGGGTGGATATTGAACTGTTGGTGTTTTTCTCCTGGTCTTGGGTAAGATAAATTTGTTTTTATATTGAATTTTTACTTCACATGCAAGTATATAAAATGTTTTGTTCTTCTTTATGATGTAAAATTCAGAAATTGTTGATGGAGAAAGAGGTGGAAAATGATATAGGTGTTAATGTAATAAATTAATATCTACTTAAATATTTGATTTTTTTTAATAACTGTTTTTATTAATGTTATGTGTAAGTGCTTAATATAAATAATTTTAGATATTTCCCAAAATTTATATAGTTCGTGTGAATTTATAAGTCAAGTGAAAAATCAAAGTAAGAAACATTTGCTTAAATGGTTTGTAAATTTAAATCTTTTTAAATATGGATATCATTAAATAATTATTGTTATGGATTAATATTTATTAATTGTAAGTGAACAATAAGTCCATTCAAACGCCCCCCCAGTGGCACAGCGGTATGTCTGCGGACTTAGAATGCTAGAAACCGGGTTTTGATACCCGTGGTGGGCAGAGCACAGATAGCCCTTGTGTAGCTTTGTGCATAATTAAAAACAAGCAAACAAACAAACAAACCATTCAAATGAATTAAGTTTCTAATCAGAAAAATTCCTTACTAAAACTATTATTAAGTAAGTACCTGAGTGAGATATTTTTTGTATATGTTAAAAAGAAGCTACAATAAAATCCTAGATTTGTAGTTTATTCTTAAGTCTTCTAAATTTTCCATTATATTGCTTTGTTCTTTTCTACTTGAGCTCCAACTAGTAATGTTTCTAAGAAACATAAGATAATGCTTATACCACTTTTTTCTATCAAATCACATTTAAACATTGTCTGTAGTTTTTCCAAAGCTTTGCTTTATCATTAAGCCTTCAGGCTAATTGCTTTGACATAATAAAAGGGTGGGAACTGTTAAGCTTGTAATAACACTAGTGAAAAAGAAGGAAAACCTTGTAAGAAACTAGACATGGATGAACATATTTTCAAAGAATGATTGATTCTTAACAAGTATAAACGTTTATCTTGAGCTAGATAAATGTGTTGTTTATAGGCAAGACTCCTCAGAGCTCCACAGAAACATCAGTTGGAACATTTATTAAAATTTTTCTTTGTGAATTACATTAAATAAATGCTATAAAATGAGAAAATACTGATTATAGAATATTTTATGGTAAAATGTGTTGAAACAGAGGTGGAAATATTATTTTTACTTATATTTAGAAATTTGATATGTAGCTGTACTCTCAACACGTGAGAGACACTGATAAATCATGATAATATCATGCTATGATATTTTTGCCTCAACAATTCAACATTATTTTTCTATTACTGTTCTTTTTCAACTTACGTTTGACAACACAGTTTTCATTTACAGAAAAAGTAACCAAATAAAGAAAATTGTAATTTTTATGTTAAATAATAAAAATTAGTATTTCTGACCAGATTTAAATTATGTCCAATCAGAATGGTAACCTGGTCAGAAAAAATACATATTTACAGCCCTCAAAATATACAAATTAATTTCTGTTTTTTCATGTATCTTGGATATATTCAATCACTGCACATGAGAAATGTTTATGGTATGCATCTTTCCAGTGTCAGTTTGTAAAAGTACTAAAGATTGTAATTAGTTTCCCCAATATTAATTATACAGTGCAAAACGTGTTTAGTCTGAATATTCAAGCCAGTGATAAAGTCTGATGCAGTAACTACTCTATAAAAGTCTATTTGTGCTAAGACGTGACTTTGAGTTCTTAACTTATTGGTGTTTTTTATATATTTTTCAATGGAAAGTATTGAAAATGTTATCAGCATTGTTATATACATGTAATTGCAAGGTATTTTTAAATAATTTTTTAATTAAAATGTTTTAAAATATCTAACTAAAAATATGCTATGTGATCTACAAAATATTTGAGAATATTTAAAAATAAGGATATTACTTTTTTATGTTTTTAATTAGTATGCAAGATATAGTTGATCAGGGTATACACAGCATGATTTTGACGAGTGGGACATTATCACCATTGAATTCTTTTGCTGCTGAGTTAGGCCAACCATTTCCAATCCAGCTAGAGAATCCTCACATTATCAATGATGACCAAGTATACATTGGAGTTGTGTCACAAGGTCCTGATGGCACCCCTTTAAACTCTTCATTTAGGAACAGGTAATTTTATAATACTAGTTAGTCATTTGGGACTATTTATTAATATTAGTATAAAATTCTCATATAAGTTCAGATTTAACAGCAGTTGCAATATGTGTTGAAGTTTTAATTATTGTTTTATATGTTTCTTTTGAAATAAAGGAATAAAAACTTCTATATATATATGTAAGACTTTGAATTATAATGTACTTTATAGCAATAATTTCATTAAAATACATTTATAGTGAAGTGGTTTAATCCTTTTGCAATGGGAGGGTATAACTGCGCATGTCATGGTTTTTTAGCAAGTTATTTTAAAAATTTCATTAAACTAGTTTTTATGTTATACCAATTAGTATAGCATAAGATCTTAGCTAATAATCCATATTTTAATAGTATATAAGTTTTAAGTTCTTAATTTTATAAGGCAATACTAAAAAAATTCTGAATTTCCACTAGAGTGAGAAATATGACACATTTTCTCTAGGCATTCCCTCTTTTCTATTTTATTCACCACCCCTCCAATAAGTAGGAAATTTAACGTAAATTCCAAGCTATAAAACCATCATTGCTCAGACAAACCATAATTTTTATAGTTTTCAATTTTGTTTGATTACTGAGCCATCAGAAAATCAGACACCTCTTGCCACACCCACTTATCACATCTCCTCTTTCAGAATTTGTTAATAGTTGTCTCTTACACTTAATATTATATTATGTATAACCAATAAAAAGCCAAGGGTTTCCTCTATCAAATGACATATTATATTATGTTGTTTTATGCAAAGAGAATTGTAATTTCTTTGTTAGTACAAGCTTTGTTCCCACAGGAGAGATAACGACTAGCTTGGATGAATTTGTAATGGCTCTTGTGTAGTTTAAAAGCCTGAAAATTGTGATAGGTAGGAGAAATTGTCTGCTTTTTGCATGCTATTATTCTATGTTCTTTGGTGCATTATTTAATTGAATAAAAATTAGTTAATGCATTACTATTATTAGTATAAAGAAAGTAGGGTTAAGTGTCATCGACAGTCGATAGCAAAAAAATAAAAGAAGACCTGGGTAAGTACTTTATTTCTTGTTTTTCATGTTTATTCTTTATTTATTATCATAAAAGTAACTAAAATGTAAAAGTAAGGATCCATTTAGGTTAGTTAAGGTTAGATTAGGTAAAATATATAATAATAGTAATATAATAAAAATGTTTCATGAGGCACACATGCAAGCAGCTCAGAGTAGCTCGTGGGAAATGTAATTCGATAGCATAACACAAGCTCCACATTTTCCAAGTGATTTACATCTTATAATGGATTGAATAGTAGTAGTTGGTGGTTCAAAGGGCAATCAAAGAGCAATGAAACAATAAAATTTAAGTATAAATAGATGTATACTGTTACGAGCTTAAAGCTCCTTAGGATAAACGAATGTGGTTTCATGTTACAATTTGAAGTCATTTTATAAATTAAAAGAGGGTAATTTAGATTTATTTTGATTTTATTTTTGGGGGTCAAATTGATCAACCTCATATAGAATTAGGGTTGAGAAAATAGGAGATAAAATATAAACTTTTACTGAAAACACACATTTGAAATGTATTTAGGAGGTTTTAGAGATTATGCAAATGATATTTGAGATTTTGGGGGCAAAGAATAGTTTTTTTAATCATAAGATGAAAATCACTTCACATATTGACTAGTTGCAAAAAAGACTTAATATTTACAAACAAATCTTTAGTAAAAATACTTCATTAAAAATTTAATTTTTTGTGTACAAAGGACTTGTAGTGTTTACTAAAACTCCACCAAAGTTTGTGAAGACACTTACTGCATCAAAAGTTATAGTATAAATACTTAATGTATGCAAATGTGTATATGAACTTGGTATTTTATACAGAGCCCATTGAGATAGGGTTAATTAGATTTTGAATGTAACTCAGTAATACGCACAGAACAGGGTTTAAAAAATGGCATCATTGCTTTAGTTAACATACAGTCTTGTGCTCCCTATTTCATAGTTACCTTCACAAAATTATAAATCTTACTTGTATATGTCAACAGTGTTGTAGATTCTGGTGTTAGATATACATGACTGTTTAAGTTTAATGCGAGTGTTAAATTTAGTTATTTTTTTGAAGCAATAGTTTATTACAGGTTTGTTTACGTAACTGTATGAATCATATGTGGTGTAGTTTGGTGATTGTTTTATTATTGCATTATGTTACTAGAACCTTGTGAGTTTTTCTTGAGTATTATTACATCATAATATCTCATAATGTGTGGAAAGTTCTAGGCCTCAGTTGAGCTATTTATAAATACGTGGCCAAATTGTAGTTCAAGTTAAGTTAGACAAAACTTAGTTAGAGACAGTCACATAGATCTAGACTGTGTGTTTGAGAGTTTAGCTGTAAAGAGCACACAGTGGAATTTTTTTTAAGTGAAACTATCGGAGATTGTATTGTAACAACAGAGTAGAGAAGAAGAATTTGTCTTGTCAATTGTATTTTGAAGTAATTGAACAAACCTGTATAGGTTTTTGACAAAAAGAGACAATTATTTAAAGCTCTGGATACAACTGTGGTAATCAACAGTGTAATGAACATTTGTATATATGTTTGACTTATTTCAATATATTGTTGTAAAACAAGTGGATTGTGTGCTGTTTGTTTATTATTGAAATTTATCACCAACAAGTCACAGACACCTACTTAAATAATCCTGTCCACATACATAAAACCTGACATCTGGTTTGTTTGTTTTGATTAGGATCACTTTTATCAAATATTGTAAGCTGTTATCATCTAATAAGATATAACAGGAGCCAAGTAATAAAAATACTTAAAACAGCAGTACTCCTTAGACAGAAAAGTAGATTGCAGTGACAAAAGGAATAAGAACTTTTGCTAAAAATAATTACATTCAGATCAGGATTAAAAATGCTTGACATTCTTAGAAACAGAGATGAATCATTAGACACAGGCCTGGTAAATAGTGAACAGACTGTGTCTCTGTAGTACTCAAAAATATTTTGAACATTGTTTAACATTTAAAAGAATTCTACATCAAAACATTTCAAATAATATATTAATACTGTTAAATATTTCACTAGAAAAGATAAACATTAAATTAACATATTGTACTACATATTACATTACATTTAGGTCTGTATGGTCATTTCTACATTTTTACAAAGTTATTTAAATCTTTAACTCCTATACAACAACAACATAAAATTCCCACACTTCCTTATTGATTAAACTACTTTCTGAAATACATATAGAATTTTTATTACATTTTGTATCTTAGTATTACACTGTGCTTAGGAACCCTTGACAGCTACATGGTGTTAATTCATGTATAAATAAAGTTAGCAAAATCAAGCTTTGAAAGTTGATATATGTTTGGCAAATGAGCTATGAAGTAATATTATGATAGTACAGTAAAATACTTTTATTTAAATCTTGATTTATTAATAGGAGTTTATATTAACATATTATTTCAATTCTAAGTTTATAGTTACCAAAGGTAGTTAGAAAATAGTGCATTTGAAACTAATGATATATGAGTTTGTGCTGTAATTGAAACCAGTCAAATGATTTGGAACTTATAGTTACTTGATTGCATTAATTCATCAGTTGTGTATCATTTGCTGGTAACACTGTTCTGGGCTGTAAAAGTTTTTTATAGTATTGAGAAATAAAAGTGTTTTTAATTTTGTTACATAGCTTTGTTTTTGTTTGCTGCAGTTGAAAAAAGTCACTGTAATATTATATTTTTCAGGTCAGATAAAAAATACCTCCAGTCTCTTGGTCGAACAATATTAAACTTCAGCAGAATTATACCAGATGGCTTACTTGTCTTCTTTCCCTCATATTCAGTACTGAAACAGTGTAATGAGCATTGGGAAGAGTCGGGACTCTGGCAAAGCATGTGTGCTGTCAAACCAATATTTATTGAGCCTCAGGGTAAAGATGCCTTTCAAGAAAGTATTGAACAGTTTTACAATAAAATCTATGCTCCAGAGTCCAGAGGTGCTTCATTTTTTGCAGTGTGTCGAGGAAAGGTATTAACAAGATTAACACAAATGTCATTACAGTTGTGATTATATATGTATTTAGGCAGATAAGAAATATGGTGTATTATGTATATTTCTATGCTTTAAAATGTTGGGTTGAAATATTTAAAATTTAAGTCTTTTTAGCAGTAATGATAAATGACATATTTTGCTTCTGCTGTCTTTAATATGAATTTTTGACTTTGTTCTGAGTGTCTAGTAAGAGCAGTAAAGCATTCCCAAGTTTCTAGTATCTTTAGTTAATAAATGTATCAGTAGAAAAGTTAGTGAGCAGAAACATCATAATATGAAAATTTTAAATGTGTTTTTTGAAACATAATAAAATTTGTAGTTTGAAGATCAGTTACATCATGAACACCACATGGAACAGTTTGAAATTAGAATTCATAAGGACAACTTCCTACAAGATCTTTCTTTTATATTATTAAAGTTCATGACTTTTAATATGGCTTAAGTACTGAGCACAGTACTCTTGCATATGTTAATACTTTTGATACAAGTGATTAAAAGTATTTTATTTTCATTTTGTTGCATGTTAATTGTTTGTCTTCAGGTGAGTGAAGGATTGGACTTCTCAGATCGTAATGCTCGAGCAGTGATAATTACAGGTCTTCCGTTTCCTCCATTCTTGGATCCAAGAGTGAAATTAAAAATGTCATACTTGGATCAAGGACCAAAGAACAAGGTAAATTTTGAATAACTTCTGAGTGTGGAATTATTATATATAACATGCAAATCAATATTTTAATATAAATGTACAAGGACAATTTTTTATACTTTCTTTAAATGTTTTTAGTTCTAGATTGTAAATGATACGTTTCAGGAAAACTTATGCATAAACATTTGTCTCAGAATGGTTTCTTCCATGTTCAATTTTCCTTGCAGATTTTTTTGAGATTTCTGCATCATACTTATAGACTTCTGAAATGAAGTGATCATCTTTTAACTTCAAGGCAATTCCATTATTTTTTGTTATTGAGACTCTTATGATCAGGCTTCAACAGTAATTCCTCTTTTGAAGTAAAACATATCCTTAACCTTTGCCATCATAATGAAGACTGAGGCACACACCTGCTTACACTATTTATACTGGTGCAGTGATCACATGGGGCATATTTCATTGCCTGTTAACTCATCAGTTAGTGGGAGAATTTAAAAAACAAATAGTTAATGGGTTTTTTATCACAATGTAACATGTATTTTTCATGTATGAATACCTCAACAAGTCTTAAAATAAGCCTTTTTTTTATTGGGGGGCCAAATAATTGAAGGCAAGTAAATGTTATTTAGGATTTTTGAACATTTGAGTGATATTAAAATTACATGATTTGCTTTTCACTATTTTAGTTACAACTAGTTATCATAGATCTAACAGTAATAAAATAGATCTTATTCTTTTAAAAAAACCGTTTTAGTAAGCTACAATAATGAAAATTATTATGTTTTCAGTATTTCAACCAAGCAATATAAAATTTATGATTTTTGTTTTTTCATCTTTCACCCTCTTGCTATGGGCATCCTTTTCTGCATGTCAAGAGGTTTTACTCAATTACATTCAAAATTTAATTAAACTAATTTCTTATCATTGTATATGAATAAAATTGACATAAAAAAGTAGCTAATAATTCAAATTTTAATATTACTTAAGTTTTAATGGCTCTTGTCGCATAGTCAGAAAGCCCAAAAAATTGTGATAGTTATAGGGCATTGTCTGCTTTTTGTATGTTATTATTCTATGCTCTTTGATATATTACTTAATTAAATAAAAATTATTTAGTACAGTAGTACCATTTGTATAAAAAAAAGTAGGATCAAGTTTCTTTGACAGTTGACAGCAAAAAAAAAAGAAGATCCAGGTAAGTATTATATTTCTTGTTTTTTTATGTATTCTTTATTTATTATTATAAAAGTAACTAAAAGGTAAAAATTAGAAACTTTTTAGGTTAGATAAGGAAACAACTTGTGATTAGCCTGTGTGTTATGTAATTCGATAGGGTAAGGTGAGCTACACGTTTACCAAGTTATTTACAATTTGTGTGGTGGGAATATTAGTTAGATATAGTTCATAGAGCAATAAAACAATAAAATTTAAGTATAAACAGATGTATACTGTTATGAGTTTAAAGCTATTTAGGATAAACAAATGTATTTTCATGTTATACTCTGAAGTCATTCTAGAAAGAAAAAACGGGTAATTCAGATTTATTTTGAATTTTGTTTGGTGCTTACAAGGCTGGTCAATTTGACCAACCTTGTATAGAGTTAGGGTAGAGAAAATAAGTGGTAAAATATAAAGTTTTACTGAAAACAAACATTTGAAAAGTGTTTAGGGTTTTTTTTAGAGATTATACAAATAAAATTTGGGAATTTTGAGATGAAGAAAAGTATTTTTAATCTTAACATGAAAATCACTTTGCACTACGACTACTCAAAACAAATACTTGATATATTCAAGGACAAAGCTTTTTGTAGTTTATTAAAAATACTTCACTAAAAAATATGATTTTTTGTATGTCAAAGGCTTATGAAGATTACTAAAAGTTTGCCAAATTTTCTGAAGATATACACACACTATATCAAAAGTTAGTAGTATCAAATCTATAAAGACTTACATGAGTACAAAAAGGTTACATGGTCGGTCAGATTGACCGATGTGGAGAGAGTTAACAGAAAAGGAGATACTGAGAGATGTGAGAGTGGACAAATACACCAAGAGAGAAAGAGGCAAAAAAATGCTATCAGTAAAAACCAAATCTAGTTCTAAACGTGTTATTGGTTGTGGTAATAAACAGAAATTTATGTTTAAATTAGTATGAGTCAGTTTCTGATAGAAATAAGTACAACCTTAAGAAAGTTGAAGGGAAAGTAGTGTGCGAGTATAGCACAATCATAACAAAGTTGACTCGCATTACATTGGTGTTAGAAGTGGTCTACAATAAAGTGGTGTCAGTTAACCAATAACAGTTTATTTATATTTTAGTATTAAATAAACTGTACAAGTTCAACTGTTTGTTGTTTATCTTTTGCCATTGAATCTTGTTTGTTTGTATGTTTTGAATTTCGCACAAAGCTACATGAGGGCTAACTGTGCTAGCTGTCCCTAATTTAGCAGTGAAAGACTAGATGGTAGGCAGCTAGTCATCATCACCCTCCGCCAACTCTTGAGCTACTCTCTTACCAATGAATAGTGGGATTGACCAGCACATTATAACCCCCCATGGCTGAAAGGGCATGCATGTTTGGTGGGACAGGGATATGAACCCACAACCCTCAGATTGTGAGTCGAGCACCCTAACCACCTGGCCATGCTGGGCCCCCATTGAACCTTATTAAGTATATTTAAGTTGAATACTTATATCTTATTGCTAAAAGATATAAACATATATATGTAGTACTTTTATTGTCCATGTAATGTATATTAAGTTAATTATTCTGTATTCTTTTATGATAAATTGTACCTGTATATCAGTTAATTTTATTTGCAAAGTTACCCAATTATTTGATAATGTTTGCACATGATACATGTTTTGGAGCATTACATGTATGAACAGATAACATAAATTGTTCAGGTCAGAACTTCTTTATATTTTGGTTTATTGTATGTTATAAATATATGTAACTAAATTGTGTACATAGATTTGTATTAAGATTATACGTGTTACATAAACAAGGAAAATGCTGTACTTCAAAAAGACCACACTAGTGGCTGAAATGCTGTATGTATTCTAACATACAAAAAATTTCCAACTATTCACTGCAAGCTGTAAATAAATTTAAATATTACTGTTTGGTGGAAAAACATCTTTTTTTTTAAATATGTAGACATATTAGGTCGTCAAGAAGTTGCTGCCTCATTTTGGAACACTTTCATTAACCCCCCCCCCCCAAAAAAATGTACATCACGTATAATTGTTAACAAACTGCTTAAATGTCACATCAATGTAGCCTATATAATGTGTAAAGTTTAGTATACTCTAATCCCTTATAGTGATGGCACACGATGAGACACACATTCGGCATGTAATGCTGTTTGAGTACAAGAAGGGGAACAATGCCTCTGTAGCCACACAGAATATCAAAGAAGTTTATGGAAATGTCTTGAACGTTCATAAGTATCAATGATGGTTCAGCAAATTTTGTTCAGGTGTACTTTAGCCTCAAAAACTGTGAAGGCAGAGGCCGACATGTTGGAA